CCCCGGGTTTGAACAGCAGCTCTGGTGGCCACGGAGCACTCCCTGAGCCAACAGCAAGACTGGGGCCCACCCAGGCTCCCATTCATCACTTTGAGAGCTCCTTGGAGTGTTTATAGATAATTAACCACTTAGGAGAGGCGGCAGGGGGTGGGGGAGGGCAGGCAGCTGGCCGTGTGGAGCCCAGCAGAGACAGGTCCATGCACAGGAAGCCCAGTGAGGTGAGGAGCCCTGGGAGCCCTGGGCGGGGGTGGGGTGGGTGGGTGGGGGGGGTGAGTGTGTGGGGGGGGTGAGGCTGCAGAGACTCCAGCTGCAGCAGGAAGGACACCAGGGGTAGCTGCCCCCAGGCCAAGGCTGCAGGATGCCAGGGACACGGGCTGGGAGGAGCTTGCTTCACCACGGCTCTCTTCAGGGCCCCAACCAGAACTTGGGGGGAGCCTGGGGTCGGAGGACCTGGGCTGTGCTCCCTCTGGAGCTGCCCACTGCTCCACATTGGGGCTGCAGGATGTGGTGCTGACCTTGCAGTCCCTGCCATCAGTCCAGCATCTTTGCAGCCTCTGCGGCCCCCGAGGCTGCCCTGCACAGGCCTGGGGTGGAAGGAGCTGCACTGGGGGCAGCAGGACGGCCTTAGGAGAAAGTATTGCTGCTTTGGAGGTGTTGGCCCCAATTCTCATATTTCTTTTGCATTTAACAGTTTCTGAAATTTTTCTGGAAAAATGCGTGAAAGCAGAGGCTCCGTGGTCCCCTCTCCCATTGGCTGAAGGGAGGCACTTCCTGCACAGGGCGGTCGGCTGGGGCTGAGAGCAAGGAGCCAGCCCTGGAGAGAGAGGGCCTCTTTGACCCAGGGGTGCCTGTCTAAGTGAACCAGTCATGGGGGGCCAGGCTGGGCCTAGCTCTGTCCACTTGTGAAGCCTCTGGGCTTGTCTGTACACTCATGCCCCCCACAAGGGGGCTAGCCCAAGGGTCTGAGCCCAAGACCAGGCCTGGGCGCCCAGAGAGAGATCCCAGAGAATGCCCAGGAGCCGGCCTGGGCTGAGAGCAGCACTGGGGTGGGGACAGCCAGGCAGCGGGACATCCCGTCCAGGGGAAGGTGGGAGGCCCTGCCAAGCCAGAGCTGCTACACCACAGAACTCATCACGGGGACACTGACAAGGGGCCAGGTACGTGTCCCCATCCTGCTTGGCCAGTCTTGGTTTCGGCTCCTCTCTCCTGGGCTCTGTGACTCTCCTCTTCTCGCCTGCCCATAAGCTGAAGACCAGCCCAAGCGTGGACCCTCTTAGCCCGAGTGCGGTTAGGGTGTGCACAGGACAGAGCCCACTCTGGACCCAGCCCTCAAAGCAGGGATCCCTCGTGCCCAGCCCTCCCTCACTCATTCTTACCCACCCTTGCACTGGACACACGTACCCTGCCTCACTAAGAGCCCTCCTGTGTCCTTGTGGGGCCTGAGTCGATGGAGTCCAGAGCTTGGGTGTGAAGAGGGCCAGGAAGGAGATCAAAACCTGCTCCTAGGGCAGAGCGGGCAAGAGAACATACCTGGGGAGACTCACTGGGGGAGCACTGGGCAGGCTCTGCCTACTGCCCAGGGCTGCTGGGGCTGTCCAGGGAGACTAGGAAGTTCCCAGGGGCAGTGTCCCCTAAAGGGCAGAGGTTTCCACAGGAGAGGAAATGGACTGTTCCCTTCTGTGAGTGGGGCCTGGTGAAAGGCTGGAGGGCGGAGGCCCTTGAGCCAAGGAGAGCAGTCCCAGCAAGCCCCTGCACTCGTGGGTCAGCGCCCCTCACCGCTGAGGCCTGGTCCTTGGTGCAGCCTGGCCAGAATCGCACCGGCTGATGCTCCCCAGTGCAGCCACCTTTACGTGAGTCCCTGTTCACACCAGCAGATGGTTACCATGGAAATGTCCTTGCACAGGGTGGAGGGTAGAGGGCAGAGAGAAGGAGGGGCCCTCGGAGACCAGCCTGCAGAAACTACTGTCCACTGTCAGTGGCAGCCTGGAGGGGCAACAGCACAGGGGTGGGCTGGGGGGAGGCATGTAAGGGCCTGCCCCACACCCCTCCGCCAAGGGGTGCATAGCTCTGGACGCAGCCTTTCCCCAGAGCAGTCTCAGAACCTTGTGAATCTGGACTTTTCCTTTCTGGGGCCTGAAGTAAGGACCGTGTTCATCTGCTATGATTACTAGGTTCCTGCCACAAGGCTTTCAGGCCAGCAGGTGGGGAGGGAAGGGCCTGCAAATTAATGAGTTAGACTCAATTAATCCTTCTGCATTAGCAAATCCACAGGGAGAGCCAACCAGGCCGGACAGATGTGTGTGAGCCGGGGCACGCAGCCTGAGGGCGGAGCTGACCCTAGCCTGGCCTTGGAGAGACAGGCCTGCTGGCCTCAACTGGGCTCTGGGTGCAGGCACCTATGACTTAGCATGAGGGCCACTGTCTGGGCCTGCAGGGCCTGCAGATGGGCTCACACAGAGCCTGGAGCTCGACCAGCCCACTCCAAGTCAGTCTTTGCAGCACATGGCCTAAGGCCCCTGCTTCAGAGTTGCTGGAGTGGGCTGTGAGAGACCACAGATTGGGGCTGTATCCCAGAGCAGGGGTCTCTAAAAGTGGGTGTCAGACTCCCCAGGTGGGTCCCAGTGCCCCGCTGGGAGTGGCAGCCGCGTCCTCCTCCAGGCTGTGTCCTTGTGTGCTCCTCCTGCAGGGAGCCACCCAGGGCTCCTAGCACTCCCCACACCTTCCCTGACTCCAGCAGGACATGAAGGAGCCCCAAGGTCAACAAGTCCTGAGGCTGAGGGCCCCCTCACCTGGAGAGGCCTCGGTCGATTTCAGATGAGGGACACAGCAGCCCTTGGCCTTAGCGGGCAGACCTCACCTTATTGACAGCAAGGGACTCTGCCCACGCCCACCTTCCCGCTGCCAGAGCAGCTGGCAGCCCTCTCGTGGGGTGGCTGGAAGGGACTCCAGGAAGGACCAGAGCACGCTGGCCTCTCTGGTCAACAGGAGGGTGTGGTGTTCCTCTGCACTGTGCCCAAAAAGGCACTGTGGATGTGACCCCGGCAGTGGGGAGCAGGGCCGCTTCATGCAGGAGACCTGGGCACACCAGCCGTGGCTCTCTCCAGGAGGGCGTCCCCAGCCTCGCCACCCTCCCACCTTCCCTGAGGAGGAGGTGAGGAGGTGCCTGATGCTGTTGGTCCACATTTGCAGACCACGTGAACTTCCTGGTCCCTAGAATGGAGTCGGTTCTTGGAGGGGCTTGATCAGCCCTGAGGAGCCAGGTAGGCAGGGGTCTGAGGGTGATGAGCCCGGTGCATGTGTGCGGTCCAGCATCTCCTGGCTCAAGGACAGACTACAGGAGTATGGCCAGAACACCGAGGACGTGCTCACCTGAGGCTAGGAGACCAGGGTGGCCTGCTTTGGAAACCCACAACTGGATGTGTGACCTTGTACAAGTTGCTTAACCTCTCTGTGCTTGTTTCTTCTTGGGCAAAGCACGGATAAGGAAAGAGCCCATCCTCAGAGTGCTGTGGGAGTCCAGTGGGCCAGCATCCACATCACTCGGGCCAGCACCTGGGAAGGCACAAAAGGGGAGCGATGGCCATGTTGAGGGAAGGTCACTGTTGAGCTGCCCCTGAGCGTCTGAAACCTCTGACAGCCGGTCTTTCTCCTGCAGACACAACCCTCTGGTAAACAGGAAGAACACTGGCGTCCCAGAGAAGGTGTGTGGGTATAAAGTTACTTCGTCCCCAGAGGACATAAGGGCTGGGGCACCAGAGCAGAGACGGGCAGACGGGGTGGAGAGCTGCAGAGGGAGCTTGGGTAGGGGTAGGAGCAGCCTAGGGAGGTCCTGAGGGACATTCTGCCACGAGTAGCTGTGGCCTTGGAGGGAAGAACAGGGATCTCTCTAGCCCCTTCACCCCAACCCCTGGACCTGAGGTCTGGTCTGCTGGCTGTGGCAGGTGGCAGTGCTGCAGAGCCGGGGTGGAGGGGGTAGGCACAGGGTCCAAGGGCCGGAGGTTCTGGAGAGCCAGCCCTCTCCCTCTCCCTGCAACCAGGCTGTCACACAAAGGGCTCCCCCTCCCCACCTGTGCATGTGGGTATCACCTGACACCCGTGGTGAAGGTGGAGACCCTCCCTGGCAGCCAGCCAACCTTGGCAAACCTGCCAAGATCTGTTCTCCAAGCTCCTGGGACCCTCCCCTGTGGCCCCTCACCCACTGTCCACAGAGTGCTGGAGGGAAGCTTGCAGGCTCTGCTGGGGTGGGTAGGAAGGGCTTCAGACCCTGTTTCCAGGCTGGATCCCGAGTTTCAGAGGCAGAGTTATGTCGTCTTTGCCCAGAAAGGTTGAGGGCAAGGCCTGGGCTTCTCGGCGCGGCGGGGGGTGGGGGTGGGAAGGGGGCTCTTTCCCCAGAGTCTGCTGGGGGAGAAGGTGAAAGACCTGTGCTTTCTGAACTGCCAACACTCGTGCTAAGGCAGCGTGGGGTGATGGTGGAGTTACCAGAACCGTGTGGGGCGCCCTCTTAGCGCCCAGAGGCCCTGGACGTGCGCCCTCCACCTCCAGGCAGGCTCGGGGACCCAAAGCTGGAGACGAGGGTGGAAGACCGCGGTTCAGACTGCCTGGGATCCCGGGGGTGCCCGCAGTGACCAAGGGTTCCCCACCCCGGGCTCGAGCAGGTCCCGAGCCTCGGTGGGACGAGGTAACTTTACCCCGGCGCAGGGCCAGCCGCAGCTTCCACGTCCCCTCCGGTGCGCGATCCGCCCCCTCCTCCTCCGCTCCCTCCTCTTCCCCTCCCTCCCCTTCCTCCCCTTCCTCCCCTCCCTCTCCCTCCTCCCCTCTCCCCGCGGCTGGAGGCGGCAGGTCCGGGCGGGGCTGCGCCGCGGATCCTACAGCCTCGCGCACCCGCCCCGCAGCCGCCGCGCCCCGCGGGACGAGCAGTCGAGTCGGGCTGAGGGACAGTCGCCCGCGGCGCGGGGCATGAAGTTGGGTGCGCGCGGGCCTTGGAACCGGGGCGCGGCGGAACCCGGAGCCGCCCGCGTCTAGCGCCGGATCGGTGCGCCATGGAGCTCCGGGGCCCCAGGGCGCCGCTGCCGCTGCTGCTGCTGCTGCTGCTGGAGACCGGCCTCCTGCCTGGTAAGTTTCGGGGCGCTGAACTGGCCCCATTCGCCTCGGTCCGGCGCCCGGGACCCCGGAGCCAGAGGAGGGAAGGCTCCTGGCTGCTGTGCCAAGCCGCAGGCAAGCGCAACGGCGAGGCCACTGAGACCCCCCCCCCTCCCATTACCCGGGAGAGGCATGGGCTGTCCTGCGGCGCAGGCTGAGCCCTGGCGCGGAAGGAGTCAACCTCCCGAGAGGGGTTTGGGGTGGGTATGTGGGGGTTCCCGCAGCATTTCCGGAGCTGGACCTAGAACCTCCAACTTGGACAGAGATGGAGCGCAGGGGTGCATCCATCCGGCCAAAATTCCCTGCAGACCACGCACCCACGCATGTCTTCTTCTTGCTTGGGGGTCAGCGGTGGCCTCTGCACTTGGGGCCCCCACACCACCTTTTCTGCTCCTGCAGGCTCTCTCCACCTCTCTCCCTTCCCATCCTCTGGGCAGCCATGCACCCCACCCCATTCAGGAGGGAATATAGGGAATTTAACCCCCTGGCCTCTTGGTGAAAAGCGGTCTGCACTTTACTGGTCAAAGAGACCAGGAAGAACAAGATTAGGGAATGATACTCTGGGCCAGAGGCAAGGGTCCCAAGGGGTCTAGAAGTGGGAGATCCCTAGCATCTAAGCCTCCTAGGAACCTGCTGCTGAGTCTCAGGTAAGCAAGATCCAACAGGAAGCAAGGGTCTCTCCTCCCTCTCCCCAACCCCCTCCAAAATGCAGCCACCCAGGGGAGGCAGGGAGGCCCCCAGACCACCTGGGGAGAGGAGAAGGGGAAAGGAGGACTGAATGAGGGACCCCTCCCCAGGATGCAGAGTTAGGACTCACCCAGGGTATCCCTGTGCGAGAACACCGGTTGCCCACAGCCCCCAGGGGCCAGGCTCGGTTTCAGGGTGGGCACCGACTCCACGCCCCCCAGACCTCAGAACACAGCTCCTTCTGAGCCACACTGTGTTCCTTGCAGCCTCTGGAAGCAAGCCCTCCTGGGTGGGGGGCGGATCCTGGCCTGGCTTCCTGCCTCTCCCTGCCCCTTCTGGCCCCCAAGTCCTCGCTCCCACCTGCTATGCTGCTTTCTGCCCCTGCCCTTTGTCTCTGCTGGTCACTGGAGATACAGGCTTTCCCTCTGAAGTCACGGTCAGCTAGGGAGAATACCCAAATCAGTGAGATGCAGGGTCAAGAAGACCTGACCCAGACTGAGTGGCCTGGAAGAGGCTTCCTCCAGGAAGGGATATTTACACCCAGGGGCAGGGGGCAGCCCAGGCCAGAGGGCAGCATGTGCAAGGGTGCTGAGGTGGGAGGTGACCGTGAGGGATGGAAGGCAGAGGACATGGGGGGAGGGGCTGGCCTGAGGATGGAGGACAGCCTGGATGGCCGCCGCCTGCTCCTGCCCCTGGCCACTCGCCTGCCTCTCCCTGCAGTGAGCAGGCCTGCAGAGACCCGGGCCCATGCGGAGGAGCGGCTCCTGAAGGCACTCTTCTCTGGCTACAACAAGTGGTCCCGCCCGGTGGCCAACATCTCAGATGTGGTCCTGGTCCGCTTTGGCCTATCCATTGCCCAGCTCATTGACGTGGTAGGTATGGGGGCCTGGCCATCACACATGGACGACCGTGTCTGGCCACGGCTGGCGGAACAGCTCCACATGGTCCAAAGCCCAAGGACTCTGTGTGGGAGGAGCATTTGGAGAGAGTGTCCTAGCCAGACAGGTGTGCAGCAGGAGGCCCAGGAACTCTGCCAGGCAGAGGTGCCCAGCTGCGTGCCCAGTATTTCCCAGCCAGGCCTAGCTAGTTGGGGTGGGACCCATCTTGAGGCAAATTGGCCTGGTGGCTTTGAACACCCTGGATGGAGCCTGAATCTGGGGAGGGGGAGACGTCTGCAGCAGGGGTGCAGCATCCCACAAGCCTGGCCCAAGCCTGCCAGGATCGGCCTTGTGTCTGCTGGTGAGGGAGGGGCTGCCTTCTGCCACCCGGTGTGCTGTCCTGACTCACTGAGGGCGGCTGTGGCATACCAGGCCGAGTGGGGAGCATGACAGGGTCTGGACGTGTGAGGGAGCCCAGGCTGCATGGGACATGCACAGTACCTGGAGACCCTTGTCCCTGTTCAGAGCCAGCACTGAGACCTCCACCCTCAGGTGTCCTGGCACTGGCCCTCAAATGCCTCCTGCAGTGTCCCTGGCTGGGGCTCAGCCAGGGCTGGGGCAGGATGCACAAGACTCCTGGTCTGTAACCACTGCCTTATCTCCTGCCAGGCTTGTTGGGGTCATGCCACTGTCCCTTGCAGCCCAGTACCTCCAGTTTGCCCAGGAGACCTTGAGGCCCAGAGTCCACCCAGGCCAAGTCTCCAGCAGGGGACATGGCCCAGCCCTGCTGTCTGCCCTGGAGCTGAGATGCTCATGAACTGCACACACATGTGCTGACCCGAGGGTACTGGTTGAGGCCACGGCCCTCCGTGGGTGGAGGGGTGCCTGTGTCTGCCTGCTGTGCATGCCCCCCAGGTGCTGGGGTATGGTGCCCCACCTGGCCCCAGCCCACCTGTGCCCTTCGTGTGTGATTGCTGGGGGTGTCTTGTTTGGGGTCTTAGTCTGGGTGGGGTGGGCTTGTGTGTGAGCTTGCCTGGCACAGTGCAGAGTAGGCTGCAGAGTCCCCAGAGGTTTGTGCTGAGTTCTCGTGAAATGTGCCAGCGAGTGCAGGGATACATCTCTGGGTCCCAGGGGAACCTGGGGACTGACACTGTGTGACAGGAGGGTCCTGCCCAGCCACTGGGGAGTTCTTCCCAGGACTGTGGAGGAGCACCCAGTGCCATGGGGCAAGCTGTCTGCCCACTCCCAGGCTCCTGGGACACTGCCAGGATGTGTGGGGATGAGGTTGGCGGGCAACACAGGGCGGCAGGTGCACTGAGGCCAGGCCTTGGGATATGCTCTCTGCTCCACATCCCACCCACCCCTCAGTGTCCTGCCAGGGAAGGGACTGGCTTGGGCAGCTGGGTGACCTGTCCAGTGAGTGACAGGGAGTGACATGGGTGGCAGGGCTCACCTACGAGCAGCCTGGAGCCCATCAAAACACTGGGGGGCAATGAGGTCAGACAAGCTTGTGCCCAGTTTCCTTCAGGAAAGCTTAGGGGCCTGTCCCCCATCCTGAGTCCCCTCAGGCCACCATCCTGAGCTTGGTTGCCTCCAGGGACAAGGTGCTCACTCCTTCCTGAGGTCTAGCCCTGGCCAGTGTGTGCTGTGGCTGGGACTAGAGAGAGGTGTCCTGTCCCTGAGGGACCTCAAACTCCTTCCTGCTTGTGCCGTAGGATGAGAAGAACCAGATGATGACCACGAACGTGTGGGTGAAGCAGGTAAGTGGGGAGGGCCGCCCGCCCCACCCTGTCCTCGGAGCCCCCCTCACCCTGCTCCCTCTGTCCTTGCAGGAGTGGCATGACTACAAGCTGCGCTGGGACCCCAGGGACTACGAGAACGTCACCTCCATCCGCATCCCTTCCGAGCTCATCTGGAGGCCGGACATTGTCCTGTACAACAAGTGAGCCCAGGGCGTGGCAGGTCAGGTTGGGCTGGCAGCACAGGGAAGCTTGGAGCCAAGGGCTCAGGGCTGGGCCTGAGTGTGGCTGACTGAACCGGGGCCACCGTCCACCCACACGGCCCTGGGATCTGGTGGCCTCTTCCTGCTTCCAGTCAGTGTCTCCCCCAAGGGCAGGGAGGTTGGACTCCCTGCCCCAGCGATGGGCCCAGACTCCAGGGTGCTCTGCGTCAGGCTGCTGTGGCCCTGCCCTGCACCCGTCCCCCATGCACTCTGCCTCTGGAGGAAGGTGAGGCAGCAGGGTGCTCCGGAAGGGGTGGGGAGGCTAGCACAGCCTCTACCCGTCCCAGCCCCCAGCCCCTAGCCTGTGCTCAGGCCCGGGGAAGCTGAGCCAAAGTCTCACGTGGACAGTTTGCTGTGCTTGGAAGCCAGGGTGGCTTTCCAGGGACGGTCGTGGCAGGGAGTGGCCTCCAGAGCACTTCTGTGGGCTTCTCTGGGGACCCTGGTCCCTGAACTGGGGCAACCCTGCTGTGTTTGATCAATTTTATCTGAATCCACCCGGGGATGGTTCCCCAGCCTGGGGCTCTGGCCAGGCAGGGTGGCAGTTCCTGCAACACTTACAAATAAAGCCAATGGAAGCCCCTCCACCCCCTGGTCCCGACCATCTGCCCACAGCCCCGTCCAGGCCCCAGGGTGTCTGTCTGACCTACAAACGTTCCTATTTGATTAAGAATGATTGGGCTCCTCCTCCTGCTAATGGAGTCCAGTAATGGCTGCGGTGTTGGTGTGTGAAGGGGCTCTGGATGGTCTTCCAGATGCATCATGGGAGGCAGTGAGGGGAGGGTGGTGGTCATTACTCTTCCCTCGGGATGGACTCTCTGTCCTGAGCATTGCCCAGTTTGAACTTCCGGCCTGGAAGTCACCCCCGTCACCGGGCCTTTCTGGGGGCCACATCCAGCCCTGACCCCACCCCTGGGACCAAGTCTGCCTGGGACAGCCTGTCTGACCCATGGGGACATTTGTAGAGCAGGAAGCCTGAGAAATCCCCTGGGTGGGACTGGGCCAGGCAGACACATAGGTCTGGGAACCTGTAACAGCCCAGGACCAAATCCCCCAGAACAGGGCTCAGGAGACCACCTCCTCAGATCACCTGCTGTCTTCCCTGCCAGGACTCATGGAGACAGTGGGGTAGAACCGGCCTCTCTGTGCCGAGGCTTTCTCTGGACAGGATTTGAGGATGGGCGAGGGCAGAAAGGACCCTAGAGTAGTGGCCGACCCTGAGATCTGACCAAAGCCACCAAGGAGGCCTTTTTCTAGGGGCATCTAGCAATTATTGGCTAGGTGGCCAGTGCCACTGCTGGGCAGGAGAAGACCCTAGCTCTTCTGTAGGCTCAGGAGCCCCTCAATTGGTGTCCTTGTCTACTTGGGGCTTCCTTAAGAAGGGTCCTTTGGGGCAGGAGCCTAGAAGTCCCTGATGTGGTACTGGGCAGAAGGGCAGAGGGTCTTGCTTGGCCTCTCAAGTGCAGTCTCAAGGCATGGCCCCTACCCCTGGAGCTGACCCAGGACCCCCTTCTCCGGCCTCTGGCCTGTGGCAAGTCCAGAACAGGCCATGGTCGGATGGTCCGGCCCAAATACCGGTACCCCTCAGGCTTCCTGGGACATCTGAGGTGCCGGGTGGGGTGTGGGCCTGGGACCTGCAGGGTGCCCAGCCTAGGAAAGGCCTCTGAGGGTGCTGACAGTTTGCTCTGAGAGCCTGCTCTGTCCTGCCCACAGCTGGCCTCTGCTCCTGAGGGGGTCTGCCCTCGGCCTCTGTGGCCAGTGCTCTGCACTTGTGGTTGGAAGGAAGCAGCTCACCCTCAGCTGAGGGCTTCAGGGGGGTTGTGTCCCAGAGCCAGGACTGGAGGAGACGGGCGCCCCTGCCGCCCCTGCACACCCTCTCCTTCCTCAGGGAGCCACGCAGTAAATGCCTGTGGATGCCACCGCGATAGCAAGGCCAGGGTGGCCCCAGCAGGCTGATTCTCCTCACAAGCTCCCCGGTGTGAGCTGGGCTGGGCAGGGTGGGCAGAGCAGCCCTGGGCTGGGCAGGGTGGGCAGAGCAGCGGGGTGCAGCTGGGGCGAATGAGCCAGGCTGTGGCTGCCAGTCCTGTCCTGCTGCAAGGCCAAGGGCAGCTGCCGTCCCCGAGTGTGGGGAAGCCCAGAGCTGGCGCCACAGCCTTCCACTCACACCCTCCTGCAGAACGTCTGCTGAAAAGGATCCGCTCACGGTGGGAGAATATTCTAATTTGTGCCTCAAAAGGGTGAGGCTCTGATTTGGGGTGAGATGGGGACAGAAGGAAGCAGACCCAAGCCTGATTCCACAAGGGCTGGGATGTGCAGCAAGATCCACCCTGTGCCGCCGGGGGTGTGGGGGTGTTCACGCAGACGCCAGGCCATTCCTGGCTGGGAGGCCTCATTGGGATGCGTGTGGAGCTGCTGTGGCGTCTCCTCCTGCAGCACAGGAACGCGGTGAGAGGAGCCAGGTGCTGGTCCCAGGTGAGTCTGCGGGTTCAGAGGTGGGCTCTAGTCCTGCCACTTTGAGGACCTTGCACCAGCATGGGTGGCACACGAAGGGAAGGGGCCTACGGGTCCCAGGAGGCTTTCAGAGCCTCAAACTGGTCAGAACCTGATGGTGCTAGCTAGGGGTGCAGGGCCAGCTGCCAGATGAGGCTCAGAGAAGCCGAGCCCTTGCTGCCTGTGGACCTTGGGAAGCCCTGTCCTTCAAGCTGGGCCCTGGGGACAAAGCAGGTGAAGGAACACACAGGGCCTGAGGCTCAGGGCTGCGCCTCCTTTGCCTCCTTAGGTGCCCTCAGTGGGGGTTACTCAGGGCCAGAGGGCTCGCCAAGAGTAGAATGAGGTCTCCATTAGCATTTCTGAGCCCAGGCTGGCAGGGACTGCCCAGAGGGGCTCAGGCATTGCTTTCCCTCTGCAGGAGACCTGGGCCCTGGGGGAAATAGAGGTCTGGCAGACAGGTTACCCAAGACAAGAGACACGTGGGCTGGGGCCTTTGCTCCAGGACCACATCTGGCTTCAGGGAGAACCTTGGAGTCAAGTGGGGCTACCCCAGGAGCAGGGAGGGGCTTTGTGGGGGCTGCTTGCCTGGGTGCCCTGGTTGCCATGTCCAAACAGGCATCACTGTCCCTGAAGCCGGGGGCCAGGACTGGGAGCTCTGCCAGCCACAGAAAGGGGCTGGAGGGAGGGACAGCATCCCCTTCCTCCTCCATCAACCCCGGCCTATGGACAAGACACCAATGTCCCCTGAAGCATCAGAGGCAGAGGCTGGCCATCAGACATTGACCCCCAAGTCAGCAGCTTGAGTTTGTGTTCAGCTCCTGGGTTGTCCCCCGCAGTTTGAGGCACCATCCTTGCCTCTGGGGCCACAGTGTCATCCTCACCTTCAGGGAGATGGCAGCTAAGTCCCTCGGCTAACAGGAGAAAGAGCACCCCTGCTTGGCCATCTGTGGCAGAGGTGAAACCAGGCACCACCCTGAGTGTGGTGCCAGCCCAGAGCAGGGGCCAGCAGGGGGACAAGGCCTTGGCCCCAGGAGGTGCTTATACACTCCCCCAAGGGTGCTTCAGAAGCTGTTCCCGTGTCCATGGTCCTCAGCACAGACACAGTGGGCAGAGGCAAAACCGTCCATCCCCAGAGGGCCCTGTTGAGCAGCTGCTCGGCGCCAGGCAGCCAGTGTGCACTGGGTGGGGCCAGCCTTCAGTCCAGTGGCTGCCTGTCCTCCTGGGACAGGCCCAGGGGACCACTCGCTCTTTCCTGGAGACATGCAAGCTCCCAGGCACAGTGGACAGCCGGGTCCTGCGTCCTGCGGGGCCTTCAGGCTACCTGCTAGTGCACTGCAGGACTGTGCCTCCTCCAGGACCAAGGAGGTTAGGAGTCTGCTCCTCCTCTTGGTGCTCACGAGGCCTAGGGGAGGGGAGGGGAAGGCAGGGCAAGAAACTCCCCCCATGCTTTGAACGGTGAGGCCCTGGGGCATCCTGGCCCCCTCAGAGGTACAGGAGCCTGGAGATACCCGGAGCCCCAAGAGAGAAAGCTGAGGGACTGGCCCCAGCCCCTGGGACTGTAGTGATCACCAGCAGCAGCAATGCTCTGCCCCTGGGCCAGGCCCAGTTCATCCCTCTGAGTTCTCAAAACCATGTGCTATCTCTGCTCAGGTGGTCAACTGAGGCACACAGGTGGGTGACGGCCCAGGGCCATGGGCTCGGCTGGCTGGCTCTGCAGGAGCGCCCATGAGTGCAGCAGGTGCGAGGGTGGGTGTGAACAGGCCTCACTCTTCTGTCTTCCTGCCCAGTGCGGATGGAGACTTTGCGGTCACCCACCTTACCAAGGCCCACCTGTTCCACGACGGGCGGGTGCAGTGGACGCCCCCCGCCATCTACAAGAGCTCCTGCAGCATCGACGTCACCTTCTTCCCCTTCGACCAGCAGAACTGCACCATGAAGTTCGGGTCCTGGACGTACGACAAGGCCAAGATCGACCTGGTGAGCATGCACAGCCGCGTGGACCAGCTGGACTTCTGGGAGAGCGGGGAGTGGGTCATCGTGGACGCCGTGGGCACCTACAACACCAGGAAGTACGAGTGCTGCGCCGAGGTGTACCCCGACATCACCTACGCCTTCGTCATCCGCCGGCTGCCGCTCTTCTACACCATCAACCTCATCATCCCCTGCCTGCTCATCTCCTGCCTGACCGTGCTGGTCTTCTACCTGCCCTCCGACTGCGGCGAGAAGGTCACGCTGTGCATCTCTGTGCTGCTCTCGCTGACCGTCTTCCTGCTGCTCATCACCGAGATCATCCCGTCCACCTCGCTGGTCATCCCGCTCATCGGCGAGTACCTGCTCTTCACCATGATCTTCGTCACATTGTCCATCGTCATCACTGTCTTCGTGCTCAACGTGCACCACCGCTCACCACGCACACACAGCATGCCCGCCTGGGTGCGCAGGGTCTTCCTGGACATTGTGCCCCGCCTTCTCTTCATGAAGCGGCCATCTGTGGTCAAGGACAACTGCCGGCTGCTCATTGAGTCCATGCACAAGGTAGCCAATGCCCCGCGATTCTGGCCGGAGCCCGAAGGGGAGCCCAGCATCCTAAGTGGTGTGCACAGCCAGGGACCGTCACCTGCCCTGTCCTTCTGTGTCCCCCTGGACACACCCGAACCCCAGCCTGCCTGCAAGTCACCCTCCAGCCAGGTTCCTGCTCCACAGCCCTTGGAGGCCGAGAAGGCCAGCCCACGCCCCTCGCCAGGTCCCTGTCGCCCACTCAACAGCCCTGGGGCCCCAAGGCTCACCAAAGCCAGGTCCTTGAGTGTCCAGCACATGTCCAGCTCCCACGAAGCAGAAGAGGGTGGCATCCGGTGCCGGTCTCGGAGCATCCAATACTGTGTTCCCCAAGATGGTGCGGCCTCCCAGGCTGATGGCCAGATGGCTGGCTCCCTGTCCTCCCTGAAGGCCCACTCAGCCGAGCTCCCACCTCCAGACCACCTCTCTCCATGCAAATGTACATGCAAGAAGGATCCCTCTGTGGTGTCCCCAGTCACTGTGCTCAAGGCCCGCAGCACTGCAGTGCCACCCCGGCACCTGCCCCTGTCACCAGCCCTGACTCGGGCAGTGGAGGGCGTCCAGTACATTGCTGACCACCTGAAGGCAGAAGACACAGATTTCTCGGTAAGCCTTTGTCCCAACCTGGCTGTTGTGAGGTCCCCTGGCCCTTGTGTGTGAGGTCCCCTGACCCATGTGTGTGAGGGTGTCTGGGGTCCCCTTGCCCACGTGTGTGAGGTCCCCTGGCCCATGTGGGATGAGTAGTCTCCCTCTGTTTCTGGCAGATGGTGCAGATTGTGGCTGCTCTGTTTGGGGCACACAGCATGGATTTTGTCCAGAGTCCTGGAGGTCCCTGAGATGAGCCAGGGCCCAGCAGGGCAGGTGGCCCAGAGCAGCTGGTGCACAGTGGCCCAGGCTCCATTTGGGTGCTGGGACTCATGAGCCTGGCGGGTGGGTGAGGGGCAGCCACCAGCAGGCCGCTCCAGCACACGCGCTCCTCTGCGTTGGGGTCTCTGAGGGCCTCCAGGGCACCCTCTCTTTCCCTATGGCATTTGCCTGCCTGCCACCCATGAGGGTCTCCAGGGCCTGGGTCAAGTCCTGGGTCAAGTCACGACCTGGGGTCGTGTGGGTCCCAGAGGACTGCTCCTGCATCTCAAACTGCCTGCCAGCGGGGCTCAGGCAGTGGTGGAGCCAGAGCCCAGAGTCAGGGACAGGCCAGAGGGAATCCTGGGGCCTCCACTGCCAGCATCTGTCCTTTGCATTGACCTTGCCCTGGACAGGCACCTGCCACTGTCCCTGACACTGCTGTCCCTCCTGAGGACCCTGATCTTTTCGGCTGCCGGACCTCCTTCCTCAGTGGAGGGCCTGCCTGGCCCAGGCTTCATCTGAACTGTCTCCCTGGAGCTGAGTGGCCTGGAAAGGAGACATGTCCTGCTGCCCTCAGAGCCACCTCTGGCCCTAAGGAGCCGTGACATCATTCCAGGGACTCTGAAGAGTTCCAGGTTGCAAAGACTTGCCTGGGCAGAGGCCGGACTGGGGCCACATTTGGCTGAAGCTATGGAAATAAGAGATGTGGGGGGTGGGCTCTGAGGAGTGGCCAATGGGGGTGGGTTCTGAGGAGTGGCCAGTGGGGGGTGGGTTCTGAGGAGTGGCCAATGGGGGGTGGGCTACTGAGGAGTGGCTAATGGGGGTGGGTTCTGAGGAGTGGCTAATGGGGGTGGGCTACTGAGGAGTGGCTAATGGGGGGTGGGTTCTGAGGAGTGGCCAATGGGGGGTGGGTTCTGAGGAGTGGCCAATGGGGGGTGGGTTCTGAGGAGTGGCCAATGGGGGTGGGTTCTGAGGAGTGGCCAATGGGGGTGGGCTACTGAGGAGTGGCCAATGGGGGTGGGTTCTGAGGAGTGGCCAATGGGGGGTGGGTTCTGAGGCGTGGCCAATGGGGGTGGGTTCTGAGGCGTGGCCAATGGGGGTGGGTTCTGAGGAGTGGCCAATGGGGGTGGGTTACTGAGGAGTGGCCAATGGGGGTGGGTTCTGAGGAGTGGCCAATGGGGGTGGGTTCTGAGGAGTGGCCAATGGGGGTGGGTTCTGAGGAGTGGCCAATGGGGGTGGGTTACTGAGGAGTGGCCAATGGGGGTGGGTTACTGAGGAGTGGCCAATGGGGGTGGATTCTGAGGAGTGGCCAATGGGGTTGGGTTCTGAGGAGTGGCCAATGGGGTTGGGTTCTGAGGAGTGGCCAATGGGGGTGGGTTCTGAGGAGTGGCCAATGGGGGGGGGGTTCTGAGGAGGGGCCAATGGGGGGGGGTTCTGAGGAGTGGCCAATGGGGGTGGGTTCTGAGGAGTGGCCAATGGGGGTGGGTTCTGAGGAGTGGCCAATGGGGGGTGGGTTCTGAGGAGTGGCCAATGGGGGGTGGGTTCTGAGGAGTGGCCAATGGGGGGTGGGTTCTGAGGAGTGGCCAATGGGGGGTGGGTTCTGAGGAGTGGCCAATGGGGGGTGGGTTCTGAGGAGTGGCCAATGGGGGTGGGTTCTGAGGAGTGGCCAATGGGGGTGGGTTCTGAGGAGGGGCCAATGGGGGGGTGGGTTCTGAGGAGGGGCCAATGGGGGGGTGGGTTCTGAGGAGTGGCCAATGGGGGGTGGGTTCTGAGGAGTGGCCAATGGGGGGTGGGTTCTGAGGAGTGGCCAATGGGGGGTGGGTTCTGAGGAGTGGCCAATGGGGGGTGGGTTCTGAGGAGTGGCCAATGGGGGGGTGGGTTCTGAGGAGTGGCCAATGGGGGGGGGGGTTCTGAGGAGGGGCCAATGGGGGGTGGGTTCTGAGGAGTGGCCAATGGGGGTGGGTTCTGAGGAGTGGCCAATGGGGGGTGGGTTCTGAGGAGTGGCCAATGGGGGGTGGGTTCTGAGGAGTGGCCAATGGGGGTGGGTTCTGAGGAGTGGCCAATGGGGGGTGGGTTCTGAGGAGTGGCCAATGGGGGGTGGGTTCTGAGGAGTGGCCAATGGGGGTGGGTTCTGAGGAGTGGCCAATGGGGGGTGGGTTCTGAGGAGTGGCCAATGGGGGTGGGTTCTGAGGAGTGGCCAATGGGGGTGGGTTCTGAGGAGGGGCCAATGGGGGGTGGGTTCTGAGGAGTGGCCAATGGGGGTGGGCTACTGAGGAGTGGCTAATGGGGGGTGGGTTCTGAGGAGTGGCCAATGGGGGTGGGTTCTGAGGAGTGGCCAATGGGGGGGGTGGGTTCTGAGGAGTGGCCAAGGGGGGGGGTGGGTTCTGAGGAGTGGCCAATGGGGGGGGGGGGTTCTGAGGAGTGGCCAATGGGGGGGGTGGGTTCTGAGGAGTGGCCAATGGGGGTGGGTTCTGAGGAGTGGCCAATGGGGGTGGGTTCTGAGGAGTGGCCAATGGGGGTGGGTTCTGAGGAGTGGCCAATGGGGGGTGGGTTCTGAGGAGTGGCCAATGGGGGGGTGGGTTCTGAGGAGTGGCCAATGGGGGTGGGTTCTGAGGAGTGGCCAATGGGGGGTGGGTTCTGAGGAGTGGCCAATGGGGGGTGGGTTCTGAGGAGTGGCCAATGGGGGTGGGTTCTGAGGAGTGGCCAATGGGGGGTGGGTTCTGAGGAGTGGCCAATGGGGGTGGGTTCTGAGGAGTGGCTAATGGGGGTGGGTTCTGAGGAGTGGCCAATGGGGGGTGGGTTCTGAAGAGTGGCCAATGGGGGGTGGGTTCTGAGGAGTGGCTAATGGGGGTGGGTTCTGAGGAGTGGCCAATGGGGGGTGGGTTCTGAAGAGTGGCCAATGGGGGGTGGGTTCTGAGGAGTGGCCAATGGGGGTGGGTTCTGAGGAGTGGCCAATGGGGGGTGGGTTCTGAAGAGTGGCCAATGGGGGGTGGGTTCTGAGGAGTGGCTAATGGGGGGGTGGGTTCTGAGGAGTGGCCAATGGGGGTGGGTTCTGAGGAGTGGCTAATGGGGGTGGGTTCTGAGGAGTGGCCAATGGGGGGTGGGTTCTGAGGGGTGGCCAATGGGGGGTGGGTTCTGAGGAGTGGCCAATGGGGGGTGGGTTCTGAGGAGTGGCCAATGGGGGGTGGGTTCTGAGGAGTGGCCAATGGGGGTGGGTTCTGAGGAGTGGCCAATGGGGGGTAGGTTCTGAGGAGTGGCCAATGGGGGGTGGGTTCTGAGGAGTGGCCAATGGGGGGAGGGTTCTGAGGAGTGGCCAATGGGGGTGGGTTCTGGGGAGTGGCCAATGGGGGGTGGGTTCTGAGGAGTGGCCAATGGGGGGTGGGTTCTGAGGAGTGGCCAATGGGGGTGGGTTCTGAGGAGTGGCCAATGGGGGGTGGGTTCTGAGGAGTGGCCAATGGGGGGTGGGTTCTGAGGAGTGGCTAATGGGGGGTGGGTTCTGAGGAGTGGCCAATGGGGGGTGGGTTCTGAGGAGTGGCCAATGGGGGGTGGGTTCTGAGGAGTGGCCAATGGGGGTGGGTTCTGAGGAGTGGCCAATGGGGGTGGGTTCTGAGGAGTGGCCAATGGGGGTGGGTTCTGAGGAGTGGCCAATGGGGGGTAGGTTCTGAGGAGTGGCCAATGGGGGGTGGGTTCTGAGGAGTGGCTAATGGGGGGTGGGTTCTGAGGAGTGGCCAATGGGGGTGGGTTCTGAGGAGTGGCCAATGGGGGGTGGGTTCTGAGGAGTGGCCAATGGGGGGTGGGTTCTGAGGAGTGGCCAATGGGGGTGGGTTCTGAGGAGTGGCCAATGGGGGGTGGGTTCTGAGGAGTGGCCAATGGGGGGTGGGTTCTGAGGAGTGGCTAATGGGGGGTGGGTTCTGAGGAGTGGCCAATGGGGGTGGGTTCTGAGGAGTGGCCAATGGGGGTGGGTTCTGAGGAGTGGCCAATGGGGGTGGGTTCTGAGGAGTGGCCAATGGGGGGTGGGTTCTGAGGAGTGGCCAATGGGGGGTGGGTTCTGAGGAGTGGCTAATGCCAGCAGAAATTCAAACAAAATCTTGGGAGACGAGCTCTTTCCACAGTCCCGGGACTGGAGCGGCAGGCCTCCCCTCCTCCGCTGCCCAGCTGCCGGCTGTTCTGGCTGCCTGACCTGGTTCTGGGTCTGGGAGAGCAAAGCTGACCTCACAGGATGGCCTGGCCAGCAGGGAGCTGTGGTCTGCTTCGTCCTCAGGCTGGCGGGGCACAGGCACAGAGAGGGGCAGTTCTGGCCTGTTGGGAAGGCAGCCTGCGGGGCTGCGGCCCAGCTTCCTGGAACAGGCGTCCTGTGGGGCTTATTTAACAGTGACTCTGCTCCTTCTGAGGTTTTCCACCAGCAAACATGGCCATCGGGCCTTTAAACCATCAGGATACCTGTAATTGCTTTGATAAATCAGGACAGATGCCCCAAAATGAGGAAACTAAACTCCACCCAGGCCCACTCACCCCTCAGCTGGTTGAGCCTGGACCATGTCCTCTTCTGGCCACTCAGGCACAGACAGGCCTGCTGGCCCAGGTCACCTACTCATGGCCCAAAGGCAGCTCCTATCAAGCCTGGGGCTACCAGGAACTCCCAGGTACCTGACTGTCCACACAGGGGGACAGTGAAGCCAGGGACAGGGCAGCAGCATGGGCAGCAGCTGCGTGGGTGCCTCAGGGCTGCTTGAGGCTGTCTCAAGAGTGACCAGTTAACTCCAGATCTGGCCAGGCCAGTGCAGCACTCTCCCCTGAGCCTTTGGTCCCAGTGGTCTGCTGGTGTGTGTGGGGGGGTGTGCTGCATCAGTCCTGGCAGGGGCTGGGGTCCACTCTCACAGAGGTGTGACCGTGGCTCTCCCTTGGCTGCTCACGTCTCAGTGTCCTTGTTATGGGCCAGTCCGGGTGAGGCCGAGTAGCTGCAGGTGGACATACCTGGTATGGTTTATGATGCTTGCTGTTTTCAGCCACTTGCTTCAGATCCCTTCCACCACCTCCATGAACTGTCGCCCAGCAACACTGCCCAGCCCAGTTGTGCCAGGATGTGAGCACTGGCCTAGAGTAGGAGGGCAGGTGTGGATGGTCAGGCCTCGGTCCTTGTTTTTAGGCCCTCCTCCACCGTGTGGCTCAGTGTGGGGGTTCTTAGTGATCAGACCTATTGCTCAGCATGCTCCTGGCCCTCGCCCTGTGCAGCTGGCTTTGTGGGTGGCCCCTCTCGGGCCCTGCTTTCACCATCTGCACATGGGGATAGACTAAGCCTCCATCGCTCCCCCCGGATGTAGGATAGAGTCCCCCCAGGAAGCTGGACCCTGCTTTACTCCACAGTGCGCTCCACTTGGTCTCCTGGGCTCAGGTCAGGTCAGCCGGGGACTCCAGGTGGACCTGCCTCCTGTGCAGCACAGGACACCCTCTGCTTCCACATGAGCGCCTGTGATGCACTCTGCAGATATCCAGCCTGCCCTCGGGGCCTCTTCCCACCTGACCCCTGCAGCAGCCACTGTGGGTGGAATGGAGTCCTTAAGTTCCCTGGCTATCAGGGGCGTGGCTAAGGTGTGCTCCTTCCCCGTGTCACCTCAGTGCGCGTGTGCACCTGAGGGGAGACAGGACTGCCACTTGGGGCACATGGTTCTGAAGCTTCTCTTGTTGCCCGTGAGGCCGAGGGCAGGGGCTAGAGTGACCCTGTGTCTGTGTTTGCAGGTGAGGGAGGACTGGAAGTACGTGGCCATGGTCATCGATCGCATCTTCCTTTGGATGTTCATCATCGTCTGCCTGCTGGGCACCGTGGGCCTCTTCTTGCCACCCTGGCTGGCCGGCATGATCTAGGGACAGAGCCAGCAAGGCCCAGGCTCCTGCAGGACGTGTAGGGCTGGGCCTGCTCCTCCCTGGTCCTCCCACTCTATGGGGCTATGCTGCTGGTCACTTGTCCCCCAACTCCTGTCCCTTCTGTCAGATGGCTTGGAGACATGGCCCCTGGGGAGTCAGAAGCCTGGGTGCTGGTTTTGGTCAGGTGGTCCTGGGGCAGGGGCTGGAATGTGGTTGTTCCATCCACAGGGTGGTGTCACGGGCAGAGCTCTATGAATGCATCCCCAGCACAGGTGACCTGGAAGCCTCCTGATCTGCAGATGGCCAGGTGTGTCTGCGTCTCAGCAGTGGCAGCCATCCCACCTGTCCCACAGGGCCATGAGGCTTTGTCCCCTTTCAGCCCCAAGTGGCCCCAGGCCTGTGAGACCTGGCATTCAGGCATCCCCCCCCCTGCACCTTCCCTGGCCACTCCCTGTCCCCCAGGACCCAGGCCTGCTCACCTGCCAGTCCAGGCAGAGCAGACGCTCTGGTCTCGTGCCCATAGAGGCCCAGCTGGCTGCACTGTGCTGGTCTGTGAGTTAGGGAGAACCCAGCACCATGCTGAGAGGTCTCGCAGAGGCACCGCGTGCACAGTTCCACTAGAGGGGTATCAGGTGCGGCCCCCACAGTGAGGCCCCTGGCCAGGAATCCAGCCATCCCCCTGCCAGGTCATAGGGTCTAGTGAGTGTCCCAAGGACCCAGCAAGGCCCAACCCTAGAAGGCACTTGTGTTGGGGGATTTTCCAGAACCATGAGGAGACCTCGCAGCGTCCAGGCCCCTGGTCCCGGCCCCGGGTTCTTCCCCAGTACCCTGAGGTTTCTGTCTCTGCACAGCCCAGGAGGCCCTCTGAGACCTACAGACTCTAGGAGGGGCTTCCTGTCATAGTTGCTGTGGCGAGGCTACCCCAAGCACAGCTCACCCTGAAACTGGACCCTTGGCTGGTGGGTCCAGGAGAAAGGCCCTGAGCCATGCAGTGGGGATGGCCTCCCTGGGCTCCCTGAGAGGCTGGGGCCTTCTAGCTGGTTCTCTGAGGTCATAGGCCAAGTAGGACCTAACCAGCTGTCCACCTTGCCCCAGAGGTGGTGGGGGAGCTGAGGCTTGCTCCCCCCAGGTAGCACCAGGTGGCCCGGGGTTCACCTCTTGGTGAGGGGAAGAGGCACTCACGGCGACCACATGTATCCCCTACAGCTGAGCCATCCTGGTCCCCACTCCAGCCATGGCCTTGCCAGTGGGCAGCCCTGTTCCCACTAGCGCCCTCAGCCATCTTGTCTCTGGGTCTCAGAGCTGTGTCCCTGGAGTGTCCTGGGGGAGGTGCCTGAGGACTGAGGGAGCATCGGGGGGCCCCTAGGGCCACACAGCAGGTCTAGCAGACACAGCTGCTGCCACAGTGGCGTTTTCTGGTCCTAGCTGAAAGCTGGGAGAGTGACATCAGGATGAGGGACGTGGCATCACCCACCCCCACCCACAGGCAAACCTGCAGGGCTGAGCACAGGGCTGTCAGTCACCCCTGCCAGTGCCTGTGGAGGGGACCTCAGTGGAAGATCCCAGGTTGTGGGCCCAGGAGTGGATGCAGAGGCCTGAGTGCCATCTTAGGCATCCCAGGCCACCGGTGTCCCAGGCATGAGGACCCCACCTGGCAACCTGGGTCTGCACTGGTTCCGTGGGCTGTCTTATTCTCTTATGCCTTCACATCCTCAGCTGGAGCCCAGGATGTTGGGAGAGACCCAGGTCGCCGAGCTCGCACAGGGACTGGGGGCCCGGCCTTGGAGGAGGGTGGCGGGTGCAGAGCTCAGGGCCTCAGGACATGGTTACATAAGCGGATCCAGCTGCCAGATGTGAGGGCAGCTGCAGAGCCCCTGGGCAGGGCAGCTGTGGATGCTCTTTTCTGGGACAGGAGAGGGGAGCGTCTGGGACACTCCTGCCAGGACAACCCTTCTGCCACCAGAGAATCCGGGAGAGAAAAGAGCAGTCCTGTCCCCACAGAGCCGACCGTGACACTGCGCGCATTTGTCTGCAGTGTTGACTTGTGACTGAGGTGAAGTCTGCCCGTGGCAAGTGCATGGTCCCAGGCCTTCAAGTCACTCAGCTTTAAGGAATGGGACGGCGCCACCCCAGACCCTCGATGGGCATCACCACCAGGTCCTGCCCTCCCTGGGCAGCGGGCTCCTGCCTGCCCGCCAGAGTCTGTGCTCCCAGATGCTGTGGCAGGGGCCACGCCCTGACTGGCTTCTCTGCCCGGCGTGGGATGAAGGGGTCGTGGGGTGTCCTTGCCCACTGCTGTGGTGTGTGTGGGTTCTTAGTCGCGGAGCCTCTTCTGTCTGAATAAATGGAGCCTTTTCTGGCCTTTGTCTTCAGCTGCGGCTGCTGTGAGTGTGAGCTTGTCCAGGTGGTGTATTCACACGGCTGTGTCCATCCTCTTACCCTCTGGTGCCCTTGCATCCTGGGGGCCTTCAGACCCAGGCTGCCCCCTGGGGCCGGCTGACTGCAGGGTACGCAGACGGCGCTGCGGGGCCTGCCCTGCCTCCTCACCAGACACCACACCAGGCCCAGGCTCCCTGCCCTGCTTCCCCCAGAGCCCAAGTCCTGCCCGAAGCAGTCGGACTGGTCCACCACACACTGTTCGTCTGCCCAGCCTGGTCTTCTTCGGAGACCCCAGAGCAGCCTCAGCCTTCCCTCGGCCTTCCCTCGGCTTTCCAGCCTCCTAACAGGCCTGGTGCTCCTCGCGTCCCTGCCAGACACGGGGACCCCTCCTCTCAGGGAAAGCAGCAGCTGATGTCCTTGAGTGACGCTGGCCTCCACGCTGGGCAGAGCAGTGGCCCACCGAGCCACAGCTCCTGTGTCTGGCCAGAGTGTGTCATTAGCATGGAGACACACAGCGACTGAGGGCACTCCCTGGCTTTGGTGCCGCCTCTGTTTTAATCTGCAGAGAACTGCTGGTTGCAGCCAGTGACATCACTGTGGCGACATCTCGACCCACAGTGGGACACACACTGCCATGGGTGTGCGCCTGGCAGCTGCGGTTTGACCTGGGTTTGTGCTTGTTTTGGAGATATGCAGAGCGCTCTCCACAGACGTGCCATTTACACTCCACCGTCCCCAGTGGAAGCTTCAGAACCCTAATCCTGGCTGGCATTTCTTGGCATTTGCCTGCCATTCAGACAGAGCGTGGCCGTGGTTGCACGGCTGAAGGACCTGCATGCGTGACAGACAGCACCGGGGATCCTGCCCACCAGCCCTCCCCAGGCCAGCCTGCCCTGGCCAGCTTACCTGGAGTCCCTCGCAGTGTGCTCTTGAGCCCGGCCTCCCTTCCTCGACCTCCTGGGCTTCTGCGGTCTGCAGGTGCTCCTGTGGGCGGCTCCGCGTTATCTGCCCACCCTGCCAAAGCACATGGGGGTGGTTCCTTTGGGCGCCTGCACAGTGCGACTGTGAACAGGTTGGGGTGTGCACAGGGCAGATGGCTCAGCTGTAGAGGTGCATGTGGTCAGGGCAGCAGTGGCTACCAGACCCACTTCCAGGGTTTGTGCGAGAGCCTCGTTTGACCAGGATGCCAGGGGTCCCGTCTACACCAAGGCATCTTGACTTGGCCGGTGTGTTAGGTGCTGCTCTCCTCTCTGTGGCCCAAACCACACTTCTCCAGCTGCTCATGAGGTTGGGCATCTCCCGTGAGGGTGTCAGGTGCTCATTCCCATCATCTGCAGTTTCCCACTTCTCCCTTAATTCCAGGTCGAAGGCCTTGAGTCGAGGGCAGCAGTTTGAGCTGACCCTTCTGCACTTGGCTCCCTGCTTTCACTCCCTGCATGTGCGTGCTCTGATGGCCAACAGGTCTTGTGTTGTGTGGGGAATGTTCTAGAAGTGCTGACCAGGTCCGCCAGGTGACAGTGTGCTCAGGTCCTCTCCGTCCTTGTGGATGTTATGTCTGCTTTCTCTGTGGATTCTGGAGGGGAGGGTTGACGTCCCCAAGGTGACTGTGGAGCTGTGTCCCGGGGTAGCCTTGAAACTCTACTTCTCTTTCCAGTGTGTCTGCTTCACACTTGGAAGCCCAGCAGTGTCCATCTAGGGCCATTGTGACCCGTCATATCGTCATGTCACTGTAGGGCTGTCGTGTCCACTCAGGCCTGATCGTCCCTTGGTGGCTTGCCCCTCGATACCTCCCTTGCTGCCACGACGTGCCATGTCTCGAGGCCTGGTGTATCTGACAAGAGTGGCCCTTCCCACTCCCCTCTGGTCTGATGGCAGGATCTGTCTTCCCTGCTGTCCCCTCTTCCCCAGCTCTGCGGGGTGTGCAGGGAGATCTGGGGACATAACTGCCGGCCTGCCCGGGTGTCCTTCCCCTGCGAGCTGCTCCTGCCTCTTCGCAGCCAGACCAGGTGTGTGCCCTGATCTCTGTCACATACTCTGTGCCCAGAACTACCCCCAACTAGCATGCTGCTCTGTGAGGCTCCTGCGGCTGAGCCTTGGTTCATCCCCAGGTGCATTTGATCCACTCACCCTGGTGACACTGGATCACGTCCAGCGTCTGTCGAGGACAGCCCTTGTGGACGCTCATGCAAGAGTTTCTGGGTGGATGTCTGCGTTTGTCCTTTGGGTAAATGCCTCGTGTTGCTGGGTCTCTTGGGACAGCCGGCTTTTATCTTTATGAAATCCCACCAAAGCCGCAAGCGGTGATGCACGGCTGTGGGCATCGTGACCTGGGAGCTGAGGCAGGAGGATCTCAGAATCCAGGCCGGCCTCAGCAACTCAGAAAGGCCCTATCTCAAAACAAAAAGCAAAAGGGATTGGGGTGCGGCTCAGTGGTAGAGTGCCTGGGTTCAGTCCCCAGTGCTAACACAACAAGAACAAGTCGAACTTTCTTTTATTCTCCGTGGGCTGCTAACTTAACACATGCTTGTTTTTCAGGAACTCACTAAGTTGGCCTGCAGCATAACTGCCCCCACCCTCCTCCAGACGTGGCCCTGGTGCGCCAGGCAGCAGGACAGCCGAGCTCCTCTACCTGCGTGGTCCAGGGTGGCAGCTCGGTCACTCCACCACCTGGAACTTGGCGTGGCTTTGTTCTACCAGGGGATTCTGCCGCATATTTGATGGCTTTCTCTTTTGACAGAATCCTTCCTCCAGAGGGCTTGCAAAGGGGACTTGGGGCGTCACAGCTGGCAGCTCCGGGGCCTCGGGGTGTCTCCTGCCCGTTCTCTGGGGTGTGATCTGGGTACAACTCTGTGTGCTCGGCACGTGAGGTTGTTGCCCTTTCTGCTCCCTGCCCTGCTTCTGCCCTGCTGGGGCTCCCCGTGTGGTCCTCTGGGCTCTGCGCAAGAGAAATGAAGGGCGCGTTGGAAGTCCATCCCCTGTGGCTCTCGGGGCCTGTGTTGGTCAGCTTTTCCTCGATGTGACCATAAGGCCCAACAAAACCACCTAGAGGAGGGAAAGCTCATTTAGGGTTTCAGCTGATGATTTCAGAGGCCTCAGTCCACAGATGGCCCAGTCCAGGGCTCTGGGCCCAGGGTGCACGCCAAGGGGGAGGGGCCCAGCAGAGGGGAGCTGCCCCCTCCATGGCAGCCAGGAAGCAGAGAGGGGGGGGGAAGGGGCCGCAGGGAAGATGCACCTTCCAGGGCAGCCCCATGACCACCTCCCACCACGCCCACCTGCAGTCACCACCCATCAGTCCACTCCAGCCAGGTGGGCTGCTGAGATCGCACACATGGACACACACACACACAGGTGCACACGTGAACACACACACAGGGGCACACAGTGCGTGCTTGTAGAGTCTGTGCCCCGTGGTTCTCGCTGCTTCAAGGTGGTCTCCAGGCTGGGCGCTCTGGTGTGCCAGCCCTGCTCCGGCACCTCTGAGGCTGCTTGTGAGGGCCAGGACATCTTAAGCGGCCACTTGCTGTGGGGAGTCCAGAGTTTTTCTAGAGACTTGTGTATTTAACATCCGTGCAATCGAGGCCGGCAGGTTTGCTGGCAGACTGCTGTGGACCCCTGGTTGTCTGCATTCCCCTTCTGCTCCTAAGACCAGGGCCCCTCTTCTGGGCCTTCCTCCTGGGGCCAGCACTGCTGGTGGACCCAGTGACCCATTCCTCTCCTACCTCAGGGAACAGCCCCTGGATCTCTCCCAGGAGGCCCTCTGTCCTGCAACCAGGAAAGACCCTATCCCAGTTCCCTGGAGTCTAGCATGCGGTCCTCCTGGGGTCTGTCCTTCCAGGACCAAGGCCAGCCCCTCTCCACCCCTTCCTCCCTCTTGCCATCTGAATGTGACCAGGCAGCTGGAACTAGGGCAGGTGTCCCCAGTCAAGGGGGAGCTGGGCAGAGGGAGCAGAACGGCAGGACGGGAGCGGCACAGCTGCCCTAAGCACCTCCCTGTGCCTCCGTCTTGCTGAAGCCATTGTGGTTCTGTGGTTACTGTATGTAAAGCCAGGTCTAGTCCCAAACAATGCACTTGATTATTTTGTTGGTGATAACCTGTCTTCTGGGCAGGGAGAGTGGCAGTCTTATTTCCCAGGTGGAACTCATGCTATCTCTATTATTTTTCTGAATATAGATCAGGCAGCTTGGCAGGCATGACCCCTGCCCCTTTCCCCAAGGGGGATGTAACTTCTGGAGCAGCAGCAACCATTGTGTGATAAAGAAGAGCAGCTGAATGCTGAGGATGACCAAATGCCTGGGTTCCTGAAATTTCCATTCTAGCTCTTAGGACAGGGCCAAGCCACTTAGATTTCATTAAAGGCAGCTAAACACAGTCCTAACAAATGCATGCTTCTTGAGGGTTTGTTTTCTACAATTAATAATGTTTGTATTGCTGGGCACAGTGGCACACATCTGTAATCCCAGTGGCTCAGGAGACTGAGGCAGGAGGATCATGAGTTTAAAGCCAGCCTCAGCAATTTATCGAGGTGCTAAGCAGCTCAGTGAGGTCCTGTCTCAAAATAAACAAATAAAAAGGGCTGGGATGTGGCTCAGTGGTTAAGTGCCCCTGGGTTCAGTCCCCAGTACCCCCAAAAAAAAAAGCAGACCGGGCAGCTGTGGCTTGTGTGTCAGGGGTGCAGAGAGGGGCTAGCTGCTCGGGCTCACTGCTCACAAACAGCTGTGCGGTCCAGCTGAAGGGGCAGGCCTCAGGGACTGACCCCAAGCTGCCTTTGCTATTTTAGTTGATTTCCTGGTTGTGGGGTGGCTGTGGCTCACGTTTGAGACTGGGGCAGCAGGAACAGCAGTAAGAAGCAGGCAGAGGCTTGAGATCCCTGAGCTGACCCGGCCCTGAGGGGCTCTTCAGGGGCCCTGGGTGCCCTTGACCCTGGGCTTGATTCCTTACGACAAAGGTCTGTCCTTG